GAAAAATTCCCCAGATGGAACGGAATTAACGCCGTTCAAGGGGCAAAAAACAAATGGGGGGGGCGAAAGGTTGGGAGGGGAGGTTTTTGGGGAGCCGGAAGCCACAATTGGGGAATCCCTCGCAGTCCCTCCGGCAGAGGACTAAATCCTGAGGAATCGGCCCTCGGCCTGAACATAGATCGATATATACACAGTTCCAGGTCATCAGAGATTTCAGGGCCAAGGCCCACTGGGGCCGATCTATCGTCTGGATGTGATGGGCCTCTGGGGCCTTTTTTGGGGGGAGGGTTTTGGGGGGTCTTGGGGGGGCCCGGTTTGGCTGGCGCTTGAAGGGGGGGGGGGGGGAGAGGAGGGGCGGTCGGGGCGTCTGGGGCACCTGCCGATTGCCGGTTCCAGTTAAACTCGGCCTAGCTAGCCAATCCCTCACAATACAATGGTCATGGATAGGTGGCGAATGGGACCGAGGGGACTTCGTGAATGAGCCGAAGCCTGACAGGACCAGTTGGGAGTATCGGTAAGCTGTTCAAAAAGATGCTCTTGCGCGCCTGAATTTCTCAGTCCGGTCATGCCGCTGGCGAACCCCAAATTCGAATGGGGTGACCCTTTTTTAAAGCCATCATGAACTACTGGAGCCTCTACGCCAGGGACCGCAATTCGCATCAATTCAAGCCGAGCTGTCTTTTGCGGTTTCGCGTGCACCTGCGCCGAGGTCGCAAGTATGAAAAGAATGGACAGACCATGAGTGGGGGTCAGAGGGGGTCAAAATCCTCTGCATCCTGATTGGGGTTGTTCCCTACCCATCTACGTGCGTGCTCATCGTCGTGTGCTCATCCGTCGTGAAAACAGATTGCAAAAAGCTTCTGATCTCATAATGTGCAACAAGGGGTGTTTTCGACAACCATGGGGAAATCGGCGCCCAGACCTGACCCATCTCCAACTCTCCGACATGCGCGCGCTCCATTCACACAAGTTGGCCCGTCTGGCATGTGATTCTGCTCCTCTTCGTCACTGCTTCCGGCCAGTCCTGGCCAAACTCCGTCCCTCCCCCACACTGAGACTCGTGTCGTGTGGCCTCCCCGTCGCCGCGTCAGGTGACAGACCCAAGCGGAGCCCCATCCTCAGCTGCAAGTCTCCAACACCTGCCGCATGATGCCCTCTCCCCCGGATTATTTGATTGATGCTTGCATGTGAAAGCCGTCTAGAACCAGCGATGAATCTGGGGTAAACTGCCGTCGGCACAGGCGCCTGTCCTTATTCATGATTGGGAAACCGCATGACGGGATCAACGGCGAGCCTTAGCTTGAAGCCGGCTTGCAAGACTTGGCTTGGCCTTGCCATGGAGAGCCGTGCAGACCCTCTCTTCAGTGTAATGAGTCGCCATTGCCCGACCTATCACAATGGATAAGTGCTGCCAAGCGACAGATAGATCGCGACTCTTTGGCTCTTGTTGTTTGCTTGGACGGAGATGATGCAGCAGCGCAACCGGCTGACACCAGCAAACATTCCTGCCACATGTCAAATCCCTGTTTCCGTGTCCGTATTTCGAAGACATGTCATGTTCTTTCGTGCCCGCCCCATCCATCTCCTGCCATGGAAGTTTCTTGATTTCACCAGCAAGCTGTTTCTTCCTAGACCTGTCCAAGTCCTATCTTATCTCCCTAATTTCGGTCCCTTCAATTCCAACCTTTGTCATGGCTGCACTTGTCAATCAACCCCCAATGCCATGTTTGCCCCAGTTTTGGCCTGGTTCGTGGTTCGCAGTGATGCGATGCTTCAGCAACCAATGCTGCTCGTCTGGTAGGGGTCCAGGGGCAGCGGAAAAAAAATCACTTGATAAATCCAAAGAGGCAGCGGACTGAGAGTGTGAAGCTGGACAGTCAATCGCATACACCTTTGTTGCCGGTGCCATTGCCCCTTCGAGGATGATGTCACCGTGCGACGGCCAATCGCGGCTCTCCCTGCAGGCTTGGATGCGTTTCCTCCAAAATACTACAAACCCCAACTGTATCGCCAACCACTGGCCCTTTCTTTCTCCGCCATGACACAAACATCATCAAGCTTACAGGGAACCTAAAACCTAGGTGCCATTATGAAAGGCCTCGCTACTGTCGTCTTCCTGGCATCAACGTCCCTCGTCGCCAGCCAGCTCATCCGCACCCCTCTTCTCGATACTCGACGATCCCCGCAGCACCGTGACCAGAAACCCCTCAACATGCCCGTGGTTCCGCCCTCCAACCCTTCGGATCCGCACCCTCCTCCCGGACAGGGTAGTGTCATTCTCTCCGATGTTCTGAATCGAGATAAGAGCATCAACATTTTTGCAGGATTTACGCATGACATCGAAACGGCTGCCAATCGTCTTGACGATTCAGGCAAGAATACAACTATCCTTGCGCCCCTCAACTCCGCGGTCGAAGCCCTCCCACGCAAGCCTTGGGAGGACCCTGAAGATTACAACAGACTGGGCACAGATGCCTATGTGGGCGACGATGGTCAGGAGAGGGCTACACGGAACCTGCGGCGCTTCGTTGAAGCGCACTTGGTCCCTGTAAGCCCCTGGCAGGAAAACCAGAAGGCCCGCACAATCGGCGGCGATCGCGAGGTTTGGTGGGAGAACAAGGACGGCACCAAGTTTGTACGTCTCAACCCTTCTACGACCGAAAACGAGGACCACACTCATGTAACGACAGATTCAACCAGGCAATATTGAAGTTGTCAGCATCGCCAGTACCGTCGCCAATGGCGAAGTGGTAAGCAACCCCTCTACGATATATTGCGGCTCGGGCTGCGTTGACACTTTGAATAGTGGATAATCAAAGGCGTCCGCAACTACGCCGTGTAAGAATTCTGCAGCCTGGGTAGGTGTCAGGATCAGACGACTCGACATTCGGATTGTAATAGGATACCCACAAGATAATGATATATGAACTACGATCAACTAACTACCTGCCTCGAAACACTGTGACATTGTGAACAAATGCTGTTCGACGAATTTAAACACTTCCGACTACTAGAGCGGTTCGATGGCCATCCTCAGCACTCCAACCCGCATTGAACTCACTACACCAGAACAAAATCTCATATTCATTGCCACTTACAAGGCTGTCAAACCGCCTTTCCATCACGCACCTGCATCAGCCCCACCACAGCCAAATCGGGAAGCGAAACCCAATCGCGCTTATCGCGCTGGGTGGAGCGCACGATAGTGATTGCCAAGACGCATTAATAATTATGCGAACCTCCGAAGGGCCAACCAGCGTGAGTGCCCCAGTCGGCAAGGAACGGCCGCGAGCTCTGAGGTCTCGTCACTCCCCCCGTCTGAACAGAGCTTGTCCACAATCCGATAACAGCAAGCCGCGCCAGCGCAGTTCACCTTCGACCCTGCTCCCCTCAGCTATACCATCGTAGGCGTCCGAGACTCCTCCTCATGTAGAAGTAAGTCACCCGAAACTAGGCGCTCTGAAGGTCTAGTCGCGGCTCTCCGCAGATTTTCGATGAGATCCCCTGAAGACCACATCCTCGCTAGAGAGTTGGCGCGATCCTCAATCTTGCACCATCGCAACCGATTTGAACCGACCTGTTCCTCAACACACCTGAACGTAGCGCGAAGACCGTTATTCTGACTTTATTACTACAGGCGGGCGATTTGTCGACGATGAGCGCAAAGAAAATGGACGACGCCGAGGCCTTCGAGGCTGACAATCGCCGCCGCATGGCCCAGGAAACCGACGACCTAGAGAGGAGAGAGCGAGAACAAGAAGACAGACGGCGAAGGGATGGCTTCCCACCGGGACCACCACATCACAGTAACGCGGGATCAATACCCATCCACCAGCCGGTCGCGTCGAGGATCTCTGGCGCCATCCATAGCCCTGGTGGTCTCCTCGCAAACCACGGCTCTGCCGCCCCTCCAATGCCCCTTGGAGGGCCTTCAGGGCCACCCGCCAACTTTGGCGGTCCGCTCCAGGCCGACCCGGCCAGACCTCCCCAGCACGGCGGTCCCAGCAACGGCCCCGCGCAGCACCAAATGTTTGCGCCCATCTCTCATCCGACAAACCCGCCGAATGCGCACCCTGGCGCCCCTGGCGGCCCTCCTCCCATATTCGGAGGACCTCTCCAGCAGCGCGAGGTCTCACAAGCATTGCAACAAGCGCCGTTCGGGGGAGGCGGTGGTGGTGCCGGGGGAGGCGGCGCCAACACCAACAATCCCGGAGCCCAGGCTCCACCAAATCAAGCGCAAGGTGGCCCTGGTCCTGGCGGCGGACTTGCTCAAGGACAGCAGCCGATCTTGAACGTAAGTGGATATAATCTTGTCAGTTCTTGCGCCGAAGCAAGAAGCAACCGTCGCGTGAAGAGCGTCGCCATCTTACAGGACCTGGATTGGGTTGATGCTTCATGTCATATTTCCGCTATTACTGCAAGGCATCACTGGTGTCTCCAGAAAATGACCATCTTGACTCCTTTGGCATTGCATGGTCTGGACTCGTTTGTCTTCGGCTTGCTCTTCGAAGCGGCTGGGTGACTTCATTATCGGACCGGCAATGCCTCACGTGGAGCTTGGCCGCCACTTTTTAATTCACCCTGCCACTTGGAAAGACGACGTATTCACTACAGGAACAAGGTGCTGACATATGCCTATTACAGGATGCTTTGACCTACCTCGATCAAGTTAAAGTGCAGTTCCACGATCAAGCAGATGTATACAATCGATTCCTAGATATCATGAAGGACTTCAAGAGCCAAGCGTAAGTAACCCGGAAAGACATTGCAGTGCGCGCCCAAAGACTGAAAGGCAACAGAATTGACACGCCTGGTGTCATTAACCGAGTTTCAGAGCTCTTCGCGGGGCATCCCAACCTCATCCAGGGCTTCAACACGTTCTTGCCTCCCGGCTACAGAATCGAGTGCGGAACTGGTAGTGACCCGAATACGATCCGAGTCACAACTCCTATGGGAACCACAGTTCAGTCCATCACAGGCCGAGTCACTCAGCCCGATGGGCCCCACGCCCAGCCCGGCGGCGCCCAGCCACTGTTTGGCCCTCGCAACAACGCCGCTGGGAGCTGGCCCCAGCCTCAACAGCCGCAACTGCCTCAGCATAGCATTGAAAGTCCTGAAGCCACCTTCAGCACGCCTGTTCAGAACGGCGCGACGGTCTTTGGCCAGGCGCAAGGTCTCGGCGCACCTTTCGATGCTCAAGGGCCAGGTCACCAGCGAGGTCCCAACCAGATGCCCGGCAACGCTCCTCCTGTCGCCGGGCAACCTCCACGCAACGCGCAGACACCAACGCCTCAGGCAGGTGCGCCGGGCGTCAACGGCAGTGCTGCTCAGCAAGCCGGACTGGAACGCCGGGGACCAGTCGAATTCAACCATGCCATCAGTTACGTGAACAAGATCAAGGTCAGCTCCATCCTCCCCAACAAGCCCCTGAGAAAGTTTGATTCGGTGAGAAAGAAGTCCTAACCACATGTAGAACCGGTTTCAGGACAAGCCTGAAATTTACAAGCAATTCCTGGAAATTCTTCAAACATATCAGCGAGAGCAGAAGCCTATCCAAGAGGTTTACGCTCAGGTCACTACGCTCTTTCACACCGCGCCTGACCTGCTTGAGGACTTCAAGCAATTTCTCCCCGAGTCTGCTGGTCAAGCCAAGGGCACTCCTGGCCGTGCAGCTGACGAAGCTGCCGCGATCGCAGCCATGACCACTCCGGGGCAGAACCCCCGAGATGCACAGAAGCTTCCGCTCATTGGAAGCTTCCCACCGCCCAACAGCGCAAGCAAAGATAACAGCAAGAAGAGGCCGAGAATCGACAAGCAGACGCCGGTGCCTACCCCTGCCATTGTTGAAGCTGCTGCTGTTAGCAGTCGCGCACTCCCTGGCGCACCCGTCACCAACAGCAAACGGACCAAGCTTAACCACAAGCCTCTTGCTACCGATCTCCCGGCTATCGAGCCCACCTTGACGCCTATCATGCCTGAGCCGGTTGGACCATCTGCTACTGCAACTTCGAGCCATGACGAGATCGCATTCTTCGACAGGGTCAAGAAGTACCTCAGCAACAAGACCTCGTACAACGAGTTTCTCAAAGTCTGCAACTTGTTCAGTCAGCAGATCATCGATCGCCCCACCGTCTACCAGAAAGGCAGCGTTTTTCTTGCTGCTAACCCTGAGCTTCTCAGTTTCTGGAAACAGTTTCTCAATGTTGATTCCATGGTCGACGTAGTCGACAACCGCCCAGCACCTCCTACCGGCAAGGTGTCTTTGAGTAACTGTCGTGGTTATGGTCCCAGTTATCGACTCCTGCCCAAGCGTGTGAGTATTTGATGGACAACCCTTCTTACGCACTGGTGCTGACTACCATTCAGGAGACGCTCAAACGCTGTAGTGGTCGTGATGAGCTTTGTGCCGATCTCCTCAACGACCAGTGGGCCAGCCACCCTACCTGGGCCTCCGAGGATTCTGGATTCGTGGCTCACCGCAAGAATGGCTTTGAGGAAGGGCTGCACCGCATCGAGGAGGAGCGCCACGACTACGATTTTAACATTGAAGCGAACATCAAGTGCATTCAACTACTGGAGCCCGTGGCTCAGCAGATCAACGTCATGTCTGATGCCGAGAGGGAAGGTTTCGAGATGCCTGCTGCACTGCGCGGTGGCTCCATCCCGGTCTTCAAGCGAATCTGCAAAAAGATTTATGGACTCGACAAGGGCCCCGAGGTTGTGAACGACATGTTCGCCAACCCACTCAATGTCGTGCCCGTTGTCCTCGCCCGTATGAAACAGAAAGACGAGGAATGGCGCTTCTCTCAGCGCGAGTGGGAGAAGGTCTGGCACTCGCAAACCGAAAACATGCACCTGAAGAGTCTCGACCACATGGGTATTCAGGTCAAGCAGACCGATAAGCGGAATCTTTCGGCCAGGCATCTCGTTGATGTGATCAAGACGAAGCACGAAGAGCAGCGAAGACAGCGCAGTTTAACTGGAAAAGCCCCACGTCACCAGTTTGTCTGGAACTTCTCTGATAAAAAGATCATTGTGGAGCTTCTCCGTCTCATGATGCTCTATGCTGTCAACAGCGGCCATCACAGCATACCCGAGAAGGAAAGGATCACTGACTTCTTTGAGTCCTTCATCCCCGCATTTTTCGATATTCCCGAGGAAGAGTATGACGGCCAGCTACCCCGTGTTCAAGATGCGTCAGACGAAGACGATGCAGAGGAAAGTGCCCCAGCCGAGCTGACTAACGGGAGAAATCGCCGAAACGGCAAGAAGAGCGATCTGCTTCGCGGTGTTCTTGACCCTGGCCGCAACGGATCTAAGCCTCGTGGCCACAAGGAAGACAGCGCTGCATCGGCTAGTAAAGAGACAACGCCTGACGTCACCTCCGCCAATGAGGAAGAGATGCCAGATGCGCCTAACGAGCATCCCGCTCCTCTTGTGTCAAATGAGCGTTGGCTGTCCACTGTTCCTCAGCCTATTGTTACCACTGGAGATGCCTCGCTGCTCACGGACGAGGGCGAACTGAGGGCTGACGGCCTGTTCACCCGACCATGGTACAACTTCTTCAGCAACCAGACCATCTTTGTCTTCTTCAGCGTGTTGCAAACGCTCTACAAAAGGCTCAGCGACGTCAAAGAGAGCGCGCGCGATGTTCATGTTGAAGTTGCGCGCCTCAACCGTCCCCGGGTCGCGAGAGAGATTGGCCTCTCGGAGAATCCTATGGACTACTTCGAGATGGATGATGATATTCCAAAGATCTGGTCCAAGACAGTTGATTTGATCGAGGAGTATGTCACAGGCGAGATTGATGAGGTGCGGTATCAGGATGTCCTCCGCCACTAT